ATGTTTCTTCCACAAAATGATAGATCCAGCCACTCACCACCTCTAAAAGTTTCTGTAATAACTTGTCAGCTCTGCAGGTTGCTTACTAAGATGCAGAACTGAACTAACACCTGCTATACAGGGAAAATAGCCCACTGCAGACTCTAAGCAGCAAGGGTACAAGTCCAGGAAAAGTCCTATCCCATCTCAAGGCACCTACAGGGACCTTAAGGAGGAAGACGTTTTAAAAACACTGCTACATGCTTGTAATCCCAGCTATGAGAGAGGCAGAGATGCGGCAGACCTGGTTCTTACCGGCCCAGGCACCCCACCCCATCTGTAAATGGTGCTTCATCCTTGCGATTCCAGCTATGCGGCAAGAGGATGTTGGTCCAGCCAGCCAGAGCAAAACGTTTAAGACCCTATCTGAAGAGTAACTTAAGCAAATGAGGTGCTGGTAGTGACTCACACCTGTAATCTTAGCTACTCAGGAAGCTGAGATCTTCCTGAATATTTTAGTTCAAAGCCAGACCAGGCAGTAAAGTTTGTGAGACTCTTGTTTCCAATTAGCCAGCAAAAAGTTGAACGTGGAGAACACCAGCCCTGAATTCAAGCACCAGCACTGGACACAAAAAGGAAGGAAAGAAGGAACGAAGGAAGGAAGGAAGGAAGGAGGGAAGAAAGGAAGGAAGCAGGCAAGCAGGCAGAGGGAGGGAGGGAGGGAAAGAAAGGAAAGGAGTAAGGGAGGGAAAGAGACAGACTTGTGGTGGGGGCAGGAGTAATGGCATAGTGCCTGCCTAGCAAGCACAAAGCCTTGAGTTAAAAAAAAAAACAACAAACCAGTATCACACACACACACACACACACATTATTGGTCCAGCCTCTCCTCTTCCTTTTCCCGTTGCTCCTTATGTTCTCCTCTCTTCCCTTGTCTGCACTTTGGGAGAGGAGGGATGCCCCGGGGAGCTCACAGTCCAGACCCATCCACTAGCAGACATCTCGGAAACTACAAGCATGGACACTGCTGGCCTCCAGATGATCTGTGGCAGTTCCCAGGACACAGTACCCAGGATGTCTGGTTCATAGAAACTGTTACACACAGCCAGGAAGGATTAGAGAAGGACCAGGAAATGGTGAAGGAGGCTGGTAGGAAGAGGGCAGTATTCAGGGCTTTAGTTAAGTAACTGCTGGCCATGAAGGCTAGCTGCAGTCCTTCTGCTTGGAACTCATAATATCAGAAATTTTGGTCTCATTAGGAACACATCTTTGAGCTGGTGCTAAGAATCAGGTAGAGTGCAGGCAAGGAGACCAGCACATCAATGCAAACATGGCTCATCAGGAGCCGCATCTCCCCAAACCAAACATGCAAACTTCATGGCACTCTCCTCCCACCTCACAAAGAACATTCCACTGATAAGCCAACAACACTCAGCCTCCATTTTCTGATCATGGAGAAGCCACAGGAGACAGACAAACAGATTCAACCCACCTCACTATAAGAGTTGGGAGTGATGCCAAATACTGAATGCAATGGAACAGGCCTGAGTTCGGCAAAAGGGAAGGAAGCCCTGGTTGGCATCCCAGCTGGAGCAACCTACCACTTCTGGCTCTGGCCAAGGAGGAGTGCTCCAAGCTAGACATGGCAACTTACACCTATGAGGCTAAGAGCAGAGGCGTGCTGACTGAGCCCAGCCTGGGTAAAAAAGTAGGAAGGGCCCATGCCAGCCAATGAAAACCTGGGTGTGGCGGTTCACACTGGGGACCCCAGCTGCAAGAGAAACAGGAATAGGACCAACTGTAGATCCACGCACAAAAACACTGACAAAACCAAAGGGCTGCAGGAGGGGCCAGGTGACAGAGCACCTGCCTAGGAAGCCCAGAGTCCCGAGTTCAAAAATCCAGTACCAAAAGAAAGGAAGACTTCCCCAAAGGGCTGAGGTGCATCTCAGTGCTCCGGCATTTGCCTAGCCAGGCCCTGAGTGCAATCCTGGGAATCACAAAAAAAAAAAATGAAGACTAGCGCTCAAGAGCCCAGGACCCAGTTCTGTTTTCACTGATAAAAATCCAAGACCAACCTCCTGCTTCTTGAAGACCCAGGAACTCAGCCTTCTCCTGGAACTTCTGCACACTAGCACCACACACACCTCTGCCCCTGCCACACAGATCAAGTTGCCTACTGATTGCCGTCCTTCCTCTGTACTCAGTGTGCTTCCTCCAGGCCCCTCAGCCTTTAGGAGGCCCTCCTGCTTCCCTAGCCCCAATCTTAATGGTAAAAATCTCCTCCAAGGCTAGGAAGGTGGCTTAGTGGTAGACTGCCTGCCTAGCATGCATGAAGCCCTAGGATCAGTTCCTCAGTACCACCTACACAGAAAAAGCTGGAGGTGGGGCTGAGGCTCAAGTGGTAGAGTGCTAGCCTTGAGCAAAAGACACTCAGGGACAGTGCCCAGGCCCTGAGTTCAAGCCCCAGGTACTGCTTTAAAAAACAACCAAAAAAAAACAAAACAAAACTCCTCCCCCAACCTTCCCAAGTGTGATGTCTTTGGTGGGACCTAGTGTCTCACATCCCTCTAAGCCCAAAGATCTTGTTCCCAAAGTAACAAATACGAATCCCCAATGTCCTGAACAGGTGGCAGGACCTCTCCACCACCAGCAGACTTACCTCCTTCCGAAGCCATCCTTTCATGTATGAGTACTGTGTCTGTCTAGTAAGCTTGCTGCAGTGGAAACCCAGGTATCCAAGGAAAGGAGGGGAAAGACTGGATCAAAACAGAACCAGAACCTAGCACCCAAGCATTCTTCAGTGGGGGAGGGGAGATGGAACTGTACTGGAAGGGTGGTGAGATAGTGCACAAAGATGACAACCATCAGGATGGCCCTCCAGATTACAGCCTGGCCAACACAACAGGCACAGCGTTTGTCCTTGGGTTTGTGAGGGCATCCCTATGCAGCTGAGAGGCTGGCTTGGAACTCAGGATCCTCCTGCCTCAGACTCCCAAGTGCTTTGATTGCAGACAGGCATGTCCCACTACACTTGCAAAGGCTTCCTCGGAGTCCAAGCCTTAGTCTAAAGTTTCACATTTCTATTCCCTATACTTTGCTTCTTCACCAACATGTCTAACTCTGTGCTGTTCAGTGCCATCTAGTCCTGTCACCGACTCCCTACTAATAATAGGTTGGCAGTAGATCCTGGGACTAATTTGACTATGGCTATGTATTCTGAGCTAAATTCAGAGCATGGGGGCTGTACATTTGGAGGATCAAGAAAATTACTAAATGTTCGGGCTGCAGATGTGGCTCAGCCTGTGGCTCAAGTATAAAACCTCGAGTTGATACCCTGTATTTCAAAACACAAGTCCCTAAGTGTTCAAAGCTGAAGTTTTCTTAGATAATATATTGCTTCCTCAGAAAGCTGCTCTGCAAGACTGGCTGTACACACTCGTAATTCCAGCCTTCAGGAGGCTGAGGCAGGAGGACTGTGGATGGGAGGCAGCCTAGGCTGTATATAGACACTGTCCAAAAAAAGAGCTGGTGCTGGTGGATCACGCCTGTCATCCAAGGTACTCAGGCTGAGATCTGAGGATCGCACCTGTCATCCAAGCTACTAAGGAGTCTGAGATCTGAGGATCGCGCCTGTCATCCAAGCTACTCAGGAGGCTGAGATGTGAGGATCGCGCCTGTCATCCAAGCTACTCAGGAGGCTGAGATGTGAGGATCGCGCCTGTCTTCCAAGCTACTCAGGCTGAGATCTGAGGATCACAGCCCGGACAGGAAGCCGCGAGTAGCGCTGTGGCTCAAGTGGTGGAGCGCTGGCCTTGCACTGAAGAGCTCAGGGACAGCGCCCAGGCCCTGAGTTCAAGCCCACGACTGACAAAAAGAAAAAGAAGGAAAAAAAGCCGGGTACGCTGGCCCCAGCTGTTACCTCGGTTCCTCGGGAGGCGGAGACCAGGTTTGGAGGAGGCCGTTGGAGGCAGCACCACCCCAAGGCCACCAAAGGCCCCGAGGGCGGCTGCGGCTCCGGTGCGGGGCCTGCGCCAGGCACGCGGGCAGACGAGCGCAGGGAATGGATCGCGCGGCCGCCGGTGTTGCACTGCCGCAAGCTCGCGCCCTCCGCCCTGCGGAGGCCTCCTCCCATCCCTGGGCTGCCCTGGTGCCACCCCGGTAGGCCTCGGTCCCACCCCAGGAGGCCTAGGCCCCATCCAGATAGGCCCATCCCACTCTGGTAGGCCTAGGTCCCATCCAGATAGGCCTCGTCCCACCCCGGGCGGCCTCGTCCCACCCCGGGCGGCCTCTTCGGGTCGGTCCCTCCCAGGGCCGCACGCCCCGCCCCGCTGGCGGGATCCGCGGAGCACGTGGCGCGGCCCTGAGGGATGCAGGGCCGCGCAGCCCCAGGCTCGCGGCGGTTTCAGCCCCCTGGCCCGCACGCGTCCCGCGTCCTCGCCGCCACGCGCGGCAGTGACGGCCCGTGGGCCGGGCCCTGGATTCCCGGGACCTCGTGTGCTCCGGGCCTCTGCGCCGTGGGTGCGGGCCCAGCTGGCCTCGAGGCCCCGGAGCCCGGTACTCACCCCGGGAGAGGGCCGAGCCCGGCCTGGGCGCGGGCGCTCGGGCGCGGGGCTCCCAGCACCGCCGTACCCAGCGTGCTCTCCGCGCGCCAATATTTTGAACCCGGGCGGGGGGACCGGATGTAAAAGTGGGGGGAGGAGGAAAACCTTCGCCCTTCCCTCGCGAGGGCGGCACGGGGTGCAAATCCCGCCGCAGCGGACCCCCTGGGGTGTGTGTGCGGCGAGAGTGCACCGGACGGCAGGCCCCACCGCCCGACGCCCACCCCGGCCCCCACCGCGCGGCAGAGCCCGGCACCCAGGCCCCACGTCGGGGGTCCTGCAGGGGTGCGAGGTCGCGGCGGGGCCTCCGGCCACGGCCCGCACGCGGCGCCCCCTTCTGGCCATCTGAACAGGAGGCGGCCCGGACTACATTTCCCGGCGTGCCCCGGGGCATCTGCGGTCCGTACCGGAAGGAAGCCGGCCGCACGGTCGGGGGCGGGCGCTGTAGCGCGCTCGACGGCCGCGGCCTTCATCGCTCCCGCCTGAGCGCAGCCATGTTTCTCCAGTATTACCTCAACGACGAGGGCGACCGGGTCTACACGCTGAAGGTGAGGCCCGGCCCGGGGCGAGGGGCTGGGGGGCCACGCAGACCTCGGGGTGGTCTGGTGGGGTGCGGGGCCGACGCGGGGCCCACCCCGTCCTCCCGGGACCCGCCCGCCGTCCACGGGACCCCGTCCTCCCCGGGACCCCGCCCGCCGTCCCCGGGACCCCGCCCGCCGTCCCCGGGACCCTGTCCTCCCCGGGACCCCGCCCTCCGCCGTCCCCGGGACCCCGTCCTCCCCGGGACCCCGCCCTCCCCGGGACCCCGTCCTCCCCGGGACCCCGCCCTCCGCCGTCCCCGGGACCCCGCCCTCCGCCGTCCCCGGGACCCCGTCCTCCCCGGGACCCCGCCCTCCGCCGTCCCCGGGACCCCGCCCTCCGCCGTCCCCGGGACCCCGCCCTCCGCCGTCCCCGGGACCCCGTCCTCCTCGGGACCCCGACCCCCCCCCCCCCCCCCAGCCACCCGGACTGAGGTCGTCCCCTCCTCCGGAGCAGAAGTTCGACCCCGCGGGACAGCAGACCTGCTCGGCGCACCCCGCCCGCTTCTCCCCGGATGACAAGTACTCGAGACACCGCATCACCGTCAAGAGACGCTTCAAGGTGCTCATGACCCAGCAGCCGCGCCCGGTCCTCTGAGGGCCCGCCGCTCCCCTCTTCTGCCCGCCACCCGCTGCCGCCGTCGGCCCCCGCGGAGACGACTCCATCCTTGCCTCGGAGCCTGTTGCTGACGGCAGTCCCGTCCACGTGTTTGAATTACTTACTGCCAGGTTATTAAAAACAACATGATGTGCAAGAGTGCCTTTGGGTCGCGGGCGGAAGCTACCTGGGGGGCACCGGTGTGAGCCCCGAAGCTGCTGGGGACTGAGTCACCCCTGAGAAGTGCCCCCCACAGTGCTTGCTCCCCTTTCGTTTTTATGTCAAGGTGATGTACTGAGGGTGACAGTTGCATAAATAAGGCAGTAAGTACATCATTTCTTGTCAAACTTGTTACTCCTTCTTCCCCTCTCAATAACATTTTGGCTGAAAGTGGAAGAGTTGCTCAAAAGATAGTAGCAGATGTGTTGTACAAGGAAGGCCAGTGATTTTTTTCCCCCCACACCCATCCTGGGGCTTAATCTCGGCCTGGGTACTATCTTTGAGCTTCATTTGTTCAAAGGTAAGACTCTTACCTCTTGAGCCACAGCGCCACCTCCTGCTTTTTCTGAATAGTCTCAGACTTTGTGGTCCAGGCTGGCCTCAAACCACAATCCTTAGATCTCAGCTTCCTAAGTACCTAGGATTATCAGTCAGTGTGAGTCACCAACAGAAGGCAATGAATTTTGACAAAGTTGCTCAGCTTAGTTTCACTTTTTTTTTGTGGGTCATGAGGCCTGAACTCTGGGCCTAGGCGCTGTCCCTCAGCTCTTCAACTCAAGGCTAGCGCTCTACCACTTGAGCCACAGCGCCACTTCCGGCTTTTTTCTTTTTGCTTATGTGGTGCTTGAGGAATCGAACCCAGGGCCTCATGCATGCAAGGCAAGCGCTCTAACACTGAGCCACCTTCCCAGCCTCCAAAGGACTGTTATTTATTTATTTTAAATTTTTGTCAGTCGTGAGGCCTGAACTCTGGGCCTGGGCGCTGTCCCTCAGCTCTTCAGCTCAAGGCTAGCGCTCTACTACTTGAGCCTCAGCCCCACTTCCAGCTTTTTCTGCTTATGTGGTGCAGAGCCTCATGAATGCAAGGCAAGCGCTCTACCACTGAGCCACCTTCCCAGCCCCCCAGGCTGTTTTTAAACTGAGATTCTCAGATCTCAGCCTCCTGAGTAGCTAGATTATAGGTGTAACCACCAGTGCCCAGCGAGAAATGATTTTTTTTTTTTTGTCAGTCTTGGGGCTTGAACTCTGGGCTTGGGCGCTGTGCTTGTGCTTGTCGTTCAAGGCAAGCGCTCTTCCGCCTGAGTCACAGCGCTACTTCCGGTTTTCTAGTGGTTTTTATTGGAGATAAGAGTCTCACGGATTTTCCTGCCTGGGCTGGCTTTGAACTGCGATCTTCAGATCTCAGCCTCCTGAGTGGCTAGGATTACAGGCGTGAGCCACTGGCGCCCGGCTTGTGATAAATGATTTTTTAATCCAGTTACTTAACATTGGATAGGTAAAATATATATTCGCATTAAAAAAATATCCTTTTTGGGCTTGAGTTCATGGCTCAGTAGTTTGCTTTTTCTTGTTATGGTAATCAACTCATAATTTCCCAAGCATCTGATTCCTGGCCTTAGAGTTTAATGTTGCTTTGAGGGAATCATTCTGCAGTCTTGTAGAATAACCAGGCAAAAGTCAGAAGAGTTGGGAAGGGGGCTGGGGAGGACCTTGAATTTACCAGTAACACTCACTGGGTTTTCAGTATTTTATGAAAGAATTTAAGGAATTAATTTTATCCTACTTTAAGGGGTTAAACATGTTAGAAGGCCTGTAAATAGAGGATCTGCTATCAAAGTGTTTTTTTGTTTTTGTTTTTCGTTTTTGCTCTTTTTTGAAGTGCTAGAGTTGGAAACCAAGGCCTGACTACAGGCAAGGCAATGTATACCACTGCTGTGAATCTAGCATGGAAGTGTCTTACTACCAAAGTTAGTAAATGAACTTTGGTCTCCCAAGGCATTATATGCGAGACACACACTAGTGCTTTGAGATAAAACTCCAAGAGGGGCATCAGTGACTCATGAGAGTAATCTTAGCTTCTGAAGGAGGCTGTGATGTGAGGATCACAGTTCAAAGCCAGCCCAGGCAGGAAAGTCAGTGACCACCAGAAAACTGGTACTGTGGCTTAAAATGGTAGAGCGGTAAAAGAGCTTGGGACGGGGCAGGCCCTGAGTTCAAGCCCCACATCCGACAATAAATAAAGGAAACCCTGCAGCTCAGGGCCGGGCCGGGGAAGGCCCCGGGCAGAAGAGTCCGGCGTGTAGACGGTTCCGGCTGGTTTATGTAAGTACCCTGGGCCGGGGACAGCAGGAGCACTGGCGGTAAAGGTCCCAGGATGGGCCGGAGGGGGCCGGTTTATACCGGGAATCCTTGCCGTAGGCTGAGACCTAGAGGAGCTCAAGTTAAGGCCCGCGCTGGACATTCCATTGCCAAAGTAGCAAAAAGCTGGCTGGCAGGGCGCCTCGGGAAGGCGCCGGCCGGGGCAGTGCCCGGGCGGCCCGGGTCCCAGTGCTCGGCACCGCTACGCAGAGACGGCCCGCGGGCAGCGCCCAGGACCGAGGACGCGCACAGCTGCCCGGCCCAAGGAAGGCCGCCGGAGCGGGGCCGGGGCCGGGGCCGGGGCCGAGCTGATCCTCCGCGGCGGGGCTCCCCGGCCCGAGCGGCTTCTCTCAGCTAGACCCAGAGGCGGAGGAGGAAGAGGGAGGGGCGTGGAAGTGGGGCACGTCTGCAGGAGGACGGGTTCTGTGGACGCATGCGCGGCTGCGGAGCCCCGCCCCTGCCCGGCGCCCGCGGGACCGCTCCTCCCGCGAGCCCCCGGGGCGGACTACAACTTCCGTCGTGCACAGCGGCGCGCGGTCCCCAGGCTGCAGAGGCGGGGCGGGGCTGTGGCGCCCGCGGGCCGAGTCGCCCTCCGCTCCCTCCCTGGCTTCCCGGGACAGCTGACCTCGAATGAGGAACAAGCGGGGCGGGAGGAGGGCGGCGGCGGCGCGGGCGCGGGGCGCCGGGCCCGAGGAGAGGGGCGGCGAGGTCACGTAACGGGCCCCGGCGTTGGCTGGGGCGGGGCGCCTGCGGCCGCCGAGCGCTTCTGCGCGCCGGGCCGGCTCCGGAACGGCTAGCGGCTCGTAAACAACAGCTGCGCGCGCACCGCCTCTCCCGCACCTCGCCGGCGCCGCCGCCCCCGCGCCCGCCCGCCCCGGCCCGCGGGCCCGGGAGCCGTCGGAGGTGTCGGGGCCCCCGGAGCCGGCGTCCAGCTCCGCAGCCCCGGCGTCCGCTCGCGGCCCGGCCTCCGCGGCTCCCCGGGATGCGCGCGCTCCTGGCGCGGCGGACGCCGGTGGATCGCCGCGCTCGCAGCCCGCGGGCGGCCCCGCGCACCCCGCCCCGCCGCAGCCGCGGGCTGCGCGCCCGGCTCCCGGCGGGGGCCCGACGCGCGCCCTGCGGCCGTCGGACCCGCGCGCGCCCCGTCTGCTAGGCCGGGCCAGGCCGGACCCCCGCCCGCGGACGCAGAAAGGCCGCCCCGCCGGGAGGCCATGGCCCGCGCCCGCGCGCCCCGCTAGCTCGGTCTCCGTGCTGAAGGAGGGAAGGGCGCGGGCCGGCCCGGCACCGCGGCCTGGAGCCGGCGCCCTGCGGGAGCGAGCGTCCTGTTGCGATCGAAAGCTCGAGTCGGAGGGAGATTTCTGCGAGACTTTCCCTCTGTCCCGGCAGAAAGGCGAAGAGAATGCACCCTCCTGAGAGCACCGCCAAAATGTCTTCGGTCCGGTTCATGGTGACACCGACCAGGATCGATGACATCCCGGGCTTGTCGGACACCAGCCCGGACCTCAGCTCGCGCTCCAGCTCCCGCGTGAGGTTCAGCTCCCGGGAGAGCGTGCCCGAGACCAGCCGCAGCGAGCCCGTGAGCGACCTGTCCGGGCTCACCACCTCGCTGGCCACCGTCGCCCTCGACCCCGCCAGTGACCGGACCTCCCACCCCCAGGACGCGGCGGAGGGTGAGTAGGCGCCGGGGTCGCTGCGCGGGCCGGGCCGGGCCGGGCGGACCGGGCGCCGGGGTCGCTGCGCGGGCCGGGCCGGGCGGGCCGCCGGGGTCGCTGTGCGGGCCGCCGGGGTCGCTGTGCGGGCCGCCGGGGTCGCTGTGCGGGCCGGGCCGGGCGGGCCGCCGGGGTCGCTGTGCGGGCCGCCGGGGTCGCTGTGCGGGCCGGGCCGGGCGGGCCGCCGGGGTCGCTGTGCGGGCCGGGCCGGGCGGGCCGCCGGGGTCGCTGTGCGGGCCGCCGGGGTCGCTGCGCGGGCCGGGCCGGGCGGGCCGCCGGGGTCGCTGCGCGGGCCGGGCCGGCTCTCGGTTGCTTCCGGTGCCCCTGCGGTCGGTACGCGGCCGGGGAGAGAGGACGTGTGCGGCAGCGAGGAAAGCGACCGTCGGCGTGGCCTCCTCGTCGGCTCCGCGCTCTGAGGAAAGGCCCGGGTGCGGCGGACCGCACGCGGCCGGCTCTCCCGCGCGGGAGCCGCGTTGAAGCCCTTGCTCGCCCCCTCAGGCTCCTTCTCTGAGATGTGCATCGCAGCGTTCTTTTGTGAAGCGTGTTGGTTTAACGGAAGCTTCGTTATGACATTTTCATACGCTTCTATACACCACGTATTGATTGGGTCTACACCCTCCTTCCCTCCGCTCCCCTCCTCCCGTGGTCTCCTTTTACATTCATGCGTCTTTCTTTGTTTCTAGATCTGGACACAAGTTATGTTTTTGTAGAGAGTGGATCAAATAGCTGAGCTCCACCCAGGGCCCGGGTGGGCCGCTCCAGTGCACTAACTGTTGAACGGAGGGCTGCGAAGAGACGGTCCGGGCTTGATCCCCACCTAAGTTCAACAATGAGGTTTAGAGGAAATGTCTTAAATATTGTGTTGAGGATTTTTATGTGGTTAAGAATGAACATATCCTAAGTTCATTAACTTTATGGAACTTTATAGCTAAAAGCAGGCATAAAAATGTTGAGAGGAAATCTGGGGAACTCTTGAGTTTTTATAGCCAGGGAGTAGCACACTGACTAGACCTTGAGCTTTCTAAAATAGCTTGCATGAGCCAGCTTGAAAGTTCTCATTTGAGTATAGGGATGAAGTGATGGAGAGAAGAAATGAGAAAGAACAGAGGTCATGGTTTGTCTCAAAGTTAAAAAGTTAGAGAATTGTTACACTAATGTTTAGTTTTATGCTACATTCTTTCTACTTTTTTTTTTTTTTGGTCCGGTCGCGGGCCTGAACTCTGGGCCTGGGCGCTGTCCCTCAGCTCTTCAGCTCAAGGCTAGCGCTCTACCACTTGAGCCACAGCGCCACTTCCGGCTTTTTGCTTATGTGGTGCTTGAGGAATCGAACCCAGGGCCTGATGCATGCAAGGCAAGCGCTCTACCACTGAGCCACCTTCCCAGCCCGCTTTCTACTTTTTAAAGAAATGAAAAAATTGTCTACAAATCTTCAAGACCTATCTGACATTGAAAACCACTGTGAAAGTGGGAGTGACTTACCATTTCACAGTCTCAAAAAATATTGTTTCTCCTAGCCTAGAGAGTTTAGGAAATCAGAATGATTTTACTTCCTTGTTTGTTTCTAATGTTTTGAAATGAGGTGGATTTGGTAAAACAGTTCTAGATCTTGACCAGTAATTTCTTCTTTTATGGAAAATTGCAAGTCACTTCCTGTTTAACTGTTTTCACTTTTTTTTTTTTTTTGGTCAGTCATGGGGCTTGAACTCTGGACCTGAGCACTGTTCCTCGGCTCTTTAGCTCAAGGCTAGCGCTCTACCACTTGAGCCACAGCACCACTTCCAGTCTTCTGGTGGTTTATTGGAGATAAGAGCTTCATGCCCTTTCCTGCCTGGGCTGGCTTTGAACCGTAATCCTCCATTTTCAGCCTCCTGAGTAGGATTACGGGCAAAAGCTACTGGCGCCCGACTTTGTTTTCAACTTTTTGACAAATCTTACCCTATGTTAAAATTGTAGTGAGGAATGAAAAACTTGTTATGTCCTCTTCCTCCAAATAAATTCTAAATTATAGTCTCATACCAGTAGGTATTTAAGCCATAAAAATAATGCAAAAAGAGTATTTAAGGGTAGGGAAGGTGGCTCAGTGGTAGAGTGCTAGCCTTGCATTCATGAGTCCCTGGATTCGATTCCTCAGCACCACATAATCAGAAAAAGCCAGAAGTGGCGCTGTGACTCAAGCAGTAGAGTCTCGCCTTGAGCTGAAGAGCTGAGGGACAGCATCCAGGCCCAAAGTTCAGGCCCCATGACTGACAAAACAAAACAAAAAAGAGTATTTAAGCTGTGAAAATAATGCAAAAACAGTATATCAGTGTTAATGTTTTATAATTATCATTAGGTAGTACATAGTTAAGTATTGTTGGATTTGCAATTTACAAGGTATAGAATTAAACTTTCATTCTTCTAAGAAGTGTATCTGTTTTGATAATGTGTTTGACTTGTAGAACAGGATCCATGTCCAGGCTGCTGTTAATTAAAGTATTCTTTACAGTCTAGAGAGGTGTAGTCTTACACGGTAGAGGTAAAAGTGGAGCTATGTCTGGTTCCCATGTATGAATCTATGTTGTTTATCAGTCCTATCAGATAGCATTTTCCTCTCTTCTTGTGTATCTAGCTTCCTACTTTTCCATTGACCTACTTTTTCCTCTTTTATTCCTTCTATATTTTTAAAAACATGCTGTTAGGCACCAGTGGCTATAATCCTAGCTACTCAGGAGGCTGAGATCTGAGGATCACGGTTTGAAGCCAGCCTGGGCAGCAACGTCCTTGAGACTCTTATCTCCAATTAATCGTGGAAAAAGCTGGAAGTGGCTCTGTGACTCAAGTGTTAGAGAGCTAGTCTTGAGCAAAAGGAGTTCAGGAACTGCCCTCAGGCCCAGAGTTCAAGCACCTAGACTGCTTTCAATCAATCAACCAGTCAGTCAACAAGTAAATGAAGAGCATCCAACAGAAATTAAACAATTAACAATATTGCTGGGTGCTGGTGGCTTACTTCTATAATCCTAGCTACTCAAGATTCTGAGATCTGAGGATTATGGATTGAATCTAGCCTGGGCAAGAAAGGCCATGAGTCTCTTCTTATCTCTAACCACCAAAAAGCCAGAAGTAGAGTTGCTCAAATGGTAGAACACTAGCCTTGAGCAAAACAGCACTATGGCTTTGAGTCAAGCCCCACTAAAAGCACACCCACAAAAAACAATAATAGTAATAATTAACAATATCATGTAATAAAGGGAAATTATTGAATGTATTAGGACAGCCACATCGGGCTGTATATTGTAAGGAGGGGAGGGAGAAAGAGAAGTTTTAAAGCCTTTATCTTAGCTTCATCTTCAAAGATTTTGGTTTATTTGTATTAGCATGTTTTAAAAGATTGCTTCAGCTGACTCAAATATGAAGCCAGATTTACCATAGTTGGGAAGGAAAGAATGATTAATTCTCCATACATGGAAAACACTCCCTCCTATGCTGGGCTGTGGACATAAGTTAACCAAATGGTTAGAGCACCGAAGACATTTTGTTAAATGTCCTGGCAAAAGAGTGTTGTGACTGCTCCATCCAGATTCCTCAGGAGGTAAATGAGGGATGCAGTCAGGCACATTCTTGATTGATATTTACATATGTTAGCAGGCCATAGTTCATTGGTCAGCAAGTGAGACTTTAAGGGCTGTTTATCTTGGCAATTGAATCTGAAACAGGCCATGGCCATTGGCAGTGAAGTTTGGATTTTAGTTCTTCTAGGAAACACACACCATTCTCCCCGGCAGGTGTCAGGAAATGGCACTAGTAGTCAGCATGGCTGTCTAGTTCCAGTCTGAGTGCAGGCCCAGGTCCTCTTTCAGGTTTGTCCTGTTTTGGGTTTACAGGGGTGGCACTAGGGAGCAATAGCCGAAGGCTATGGGGTTTCTTTGGAGAAGATGGTTAAAATGTTCTAAAATCATATTATGTTGAATGCTATACAGATCTGTGGATGCACTCACCTAGACTTTTTTATTTTTTTGCAATAGGTTTGTTTTCTATTACAACTTGGTTGAGAGCCTTTATGATGTTCTTGATGATTCTTTATATCCAAAGATGCTATTTTATGCAAACATCTGTATCTGAGATTAAAATCTTTTAATCTATTCAATAAATGTGGCATACAGATAATACATAAATATATATTGTGATTAAAGGAAGCTTTAATCAATTAAAAATAACCCAAAACAATGCGAACAATGGATGGATCTTATTTTTGATCCAATCTCCACCGCCACCACCACCACCACCACCACCACCATCTTTGTCACGGGGCTTGACCTCTGGACCTGAGTGCTAGCCCTGAGCTCTTCAGTTCAAGGCGAGCACTCTACCACTTGAGCCACAGCACCACTTCTGGTTTTCTGAGTGGTTCATTGGAGATAAGAGTCTCATGGACATTCCTGCCTGGGCTGGCTTTGAACTTCGATCTTCAAATCTCAGCCTGCTGAGTAGCTAGGATGGCAGGCCTGAGTTGCCAGTGCCCAGATGCTGTTCTTTTTTTATATTTAGAGAGATGTGTCATGTTTCCTGCCATTCTCACATCACTCATTTGCCAGTGGGAAACAGCAGAGTCTTCTAGATAAGCTAGCCCCTGCCTTTACTGCTTCCAGAGTCTTAAACGTGGGGCCTGTCAACTGCTGGATTGACGTATCCTAGAAACTGCATGTGAATGGAGTCTTGTAATACAGGGACTTTCATGACTGGTGCCTTTCAGTAAACCTAGCTGCAGGCAGAGTTGACTTACTGAAAGTTTTGTAGTCCCAAATTTAAGTATCTTGGGCTTTATGAGGTGATAGGTTTATTGAGTAAGCAGGAGCCTTTCTTCATCTACAAGCCCCTGTTTCCTAGCATAATAGGATCATTTCATATCAGTGACTCAGTAGGTTCACTTGTATCTGAACAGAGGACCACAATATACTAAATATTTCAGCAGTCTTATTTCTGCA